TCTTGATCTGTATGCTTACTTTCTGAAGAATAAAGAAAATTTTCTGACGACCAAATTTAGGTGAATAGATTTATCTACAACGCTACTTGTGATGACTTAATAGACGAGGTTTTTTCCACACATGCCTCATTCCCGAATTGTTCACACAGTGCATGCACTATCATCATCGTCATCGCTAGCGTTGACAGAAAAACTTCAGTAATGCTGCCTAACTTCAGTAACTGGTGTGAACCTAAGCCGACCCAAAATATGGAGCGGCATATAGCCCAAACAGATTAACTGAAAGAGATGTGGCAATGACTATTCAAGAAAAAAACAGTTCACGAACTGGTAAGCATAAAGTTTATGCTTTAGCGTTGAATTGTAGGGAGCTTCTTAGTAGAGCATTGTGTAGTTTTTGTCGTGTTCTGCATGCTTGTTGCATTTGATAAAACGAGCTGTTCTTCATTAACCACGTTAAAAGTTGAAATATTCTAGACAGAATGAAGAGGGATAAGGCCTAGAACCTGTGTAGTCTGGCCAGCGCTTAAGGTAATATATGTTTATATATATACATATATATATATATATCGCATCTTCGACTGCTTTTCTGTGGTTCTTAGTATATTCTCACCAATAATACATACGCCAGTCCTCACTGTCAGTTCACATCAAGTCGACATCAAATACTATGCTGCCAAAATATTTTCGCAATACATTTTTCCATGCCATTTGAGATCAGAGACGTATTTTTTCATAGTCTACCAATGTCTATTAAGNGTTCACACAGTGCATGCATTATCATCATCGTCATCGCTAGCGTTGACAGAAAAACTTCAGTAATGCTGCCTAACTTCAGTAACTGGTGTGAACCTAAGCCGACCCAAAATATGGAGCGGCATATAGCCCAAACAGATTAACTGAATGAGGTGTGGCAATGACTATTCAAGAAAAAAACAGTTCACGAACTGGTAAGCATAAAGTTTATGCTTTAGCGTTGAATTGTAGGGAGCTTCTTAGTAGAGCATTGTGTAGTTTTTGTCGTGTTCTGCATGCTTGTTGCATTTGATAAAACGAGCTGTTCTTCATTAACCACGTTAAAAGTTGAAATATTCTAGACAGAATGAAGAGGGGTAAGGCCTAGAACCTGTGTAGTCTGGCCAGCGCTTAAGGTAATATATGTTTATATATATACATATATAATATATATATATCTTCGACTGCTTTTCTGTGGTTCTTAGTATATTCTCACCAATAATACATACGCCAGTCCTCACTGTCAGTTCACATCAAGTCGACATCAAATACTATGCTGCCAAAATATTTTCGCAATACATTTTTCCATGCCATTTGAGATCAGAGACGTATTTTTTCATAGTCTACCAATGTCTATTAAGGACATCTCATTCCCGACTCTAACCTCTTCTAGTGTCCTGAATCAAGCACAGTCAGCATCATAACACAATTCATTGTCCTGCCCTTACCATGCAAGGGAGTTGACGGACGGCTGCACTAGTCAGAAATAGGTAACCGCGAGCCTACTGGCGTCGTAAACGCTGGAGCCTTTAATTGTTGCGTTGTAAAGAAGACTTGAACTGAGTAGCAGTGACAAGTAATTTATGTCTTTGTTGCGGGCACCGTTAAATACCTTAATGCGAATGATTCTGGCGAGTGCCACTGTCCGGCGGTAAACATTGTGAATTTTCCCTATTTGGAGATTAAGCTTAATGTTTATTTTGTTGGTGTTCTAATTCTAGGACTGTATGAAATTCGCAGATTAGGACTTGGGGATATGTAGAGGCACGTCTCCAGCTTGTAGCAAGAGGGATGGTTTCCGATTGATATTCCTACCCAGAAGAGTTCCTCAGGCGACAAATTTGTAACCAGTCCCAGGTGACGTAATAGTACTTTATATAAGGTGTTTTCTCTGTCCCTTTTGGTTTACCCTCAGCTCAGTGACCTTGGCGGACAAAACGAGTCATAACCTAATTAACGAGACCTTTATTAAATTGTATTCTCCATTTATATGTGAAGACTGAACATTCGTTTTCATGCATACCTATGAATATCCCGAGATAGCTCTTGCTGTTTGTCGAATACGCCTGATAATACCGGGCCAAAATGTTCTCATTCGGAAGATATGTTTTGACGACCAACATACTGTCGTAGATCGTGGATGGCTTGCGATAAGACATTCCGTTGTGTTCAGTTGTACAGCCGACATCCTGTTACTTCCACTCCTAATTTATTGCATACTCAAATCAATCAACCAAAACGTAACATTTGTTCATTACTGTGGCATCCGGCCGAAAGAAGTCGACGATTCTTGTGTCAAATTCACAAAAACGATTATAAATTTGGCTGGAGTCCGTATGTGGATGAACATATCGTTGCGGAATCTCATTGAGATACAAGCTATCTTCGGAACAGCGTATTTTCAGTCATCTTTCTGCCAGCAGAAAATTCTAACCCTACAACTCTTTGCACACACTCCGAACATGTAGGCTTTTAATTAAGACGCAGTTTGTTAAGTGACACATATATCGCATAAGTTTTGCAGGAAAGCTTCACCTTGAGCATCTGAATTCAATATTATTTTTGAGAAACTAAGATAAACTCTTACACATGGAATAGTTTCCCACATTTGCGCACCAAGTCCACTTAGTGATTAGACAGTGAAAATACCTTTTTGACTATTGGTCGTGGATGTAAATTGTAACTGCGTTACAGATTGTGATGTAACTATTAGAGTAAGTGCGCGTTAATCCCACTGCGGATCAGCCATCAGTGGCCGAACAGTTAAGTGTTCAAACTACTAGTTGGGACTTCGAGGCTCCGAAACTCTCCGAAATTCGTGAGATGCTCACTTCTTTGTGTGACGTGATTCATAGTTTTTCAGCATAAATCGGCTTCATTCGCAAGACGAAATCTCAATTAAATGATTAAATTTCCTCACATCACTATCAGTTGTTAGACAACTTCTTTTCCATAATATATTCACTTCTTCCATTATCTCTTGGGGATTTCAAATAATGAAGACACCATGCATTGGTCTCTTGAATACAATGAGGGGCAAACGGATCGATTGTGACCTAGGAAAATTAGCCCAATGCCCAGATACCTGTCGCAGTTGAGCATTTTTCAGGGGATAATAATTTCAAGACTGACTGTTCAGAAAAACTCAGTGATAAATATGGTATTGCGGTGAATTTTCAAGGTGGGTTTGGTGTGCAGCATCACCGATGGCGTAGAAAATACTAACCAAAATCGTATTTCCTGGTTGTCGATTGTTCAACGAGCTCAAAAGTTGGATTGCAGATGCTTCATTACAAGTCAGGGTGGCCTAGTTGAATGGTTGAGTTGAAAACTTGGCTAAGAAAATGAAATGATCATACATCTTTCTAACCAGTAACCATTTCAGTTTTGCTCACAATACCCCTAGTCTGTGACTAGTATACTATTAATTTACTACCGTTGTGGTCGTTTTTGTGCACCGCTGCTGTTGACATTTTTGACGTGATCGTTTCTATGTCTGGTAAGCTTTGTTCACCTCCACATATGATTCGCAGCTTAAATTAATTTCATTTTTTCTTAAAGCTTCCACGACCAAGAGCTTCTGCATCTTACAAACCTACCTATTACCTACTGTACACCTATTTACTTCATTTATCTGCAGGCTTTTGGTGGCCGTAGATTTGATTTCAGTCCTAACCAGTCATTGACTTTTCAGAAAATTACCTAACTAATGTCAAGTATTCCGTGCGCATCCAGAACACGTTTAGCGCCGCTTAGCCACTTATGCGGCTAAGCTATTTCCGGCCTCACCAGATTTGTACTATAAACACCTAGTAAAATCCAACTTTGTGAATAACCGGCCCACACATGAATAAATGACTATTTACTATGGCTTTCCGTTGATTATCTAAATAGCTCGTTGATCATAAATTTGGGCAATCATCTCCAAATCAGTGCGTTTCTATATGCTGAATTTGAATATGTCTCTTGTTTATAACATTAGTCAACCGAATCTGCTGCACAAAGGCACCCTCGTGTTTCAGTTTTCGGTGGTGTTCAAAATATGAAAAATGTTCGCCTTGATTTCACTCTTCATAGAAGGGTGACAAGCTTATTCAGAGATGGGCTAGTAAGTGTAGTCGTCAAATACCTCCCTACTCATTTCATCTTTAAAAGCTTTAGTGGATGCCAGTGGAAATGAATCTTTGTGTCCATCTTAGTCTGTTGGCAGTATAGTTTCACACACGGAAAATATCCAGTAGTGGTCATTTAGAATTGGTAAATACTGAAATGTTCTACTCAGGAGGATGAATTTAACATCCTTATATGGACTCAGATAGACGTGTTTGAAACAGATCGCGTGGTGTTCACGCCCGTAACTCCAAAACTAGGTGATCCTCTCTTCAGTTTTTTGCGCACGCCACATATTAATCCAGTTGGATTTGCTTGACATGGCACGTGCGTCAAAGTCTACGAGATCTGACAGTTCGTAAATAGTCTGGCTTTTTTCACTCTTCAGTTTCAGTTTCCACCTGCTCGGCAAACTGCGAACAGATAGCATCATGCCTGACTAGCCAGGTTTTCAACAAATTTCGAGACATTCCTGAAAAAATTGAAAAATTGCGCCAGTGCGCCACAACAAAGTCTATTAGATCCCAAAACACAAATGGTATTTCTAATAATTTCTCGCAGTCACTGGTTAGAGAGTGTTGGGTGCATCTGAACTCATTTCGAAATCTGAAATTGATACACACTGTCTTAAGCTATACATTCCGTGAATATCACGTTCGACGTTGTCAGGTGTTTCATCTAAGCTTCATTCGAACCGTTTTGCTTGTATCACGAAATAAACACAGATATGCAATCGGAAAAGTTGTTCATTGTTAAAATGTGTCGCTTGTTTTGCCCTGCTAAGTAACGAATTATGATTACAACTTCAGCCTACAAAGTGCTCAGGCCATTGGCGATACAGATGTGTAGCCGAAAACTTCCTTCGAAGAAATTACTCGGAAGCTTCGTAAAAGGGCGATTCCATGAGGAATTCGATCAGTTTTTGTGGGCATTTATTTGAGTTGGAAGAAACGTGTTGTTTGCTCGAAGCAAAGTCTTGAATTCGTGACAACCACATGGGAATTACTATCCAGAAATAGTGCAATAAATTACAAACCAGGTAAGTTTTAAGTTACGTGACCCAAAAAGATCAATCTTCTAATCTGATCAACTTTCCCCTCGTCATTATTCCAACCATGGGTGTCATCGATGAAGACTTTTTGTTTCGCGAACCAACGAAAATTTCATATGAAGGAATTTACTTTCCACCATCTGCTAAAGTTGCTGCTGAGACGGGGTTTTCAAACGTCACAGTCAGTCACATGTGTCTGCTCACCATTTTTGGCACTCGGCTCAACTATTTGTAACCTATTTGTGTTACATGACGTTGAGTATTTTTTGTGTCATTTACTTTCACGCGTGACCCTATAGGCCGAAATGCTCGTGCCTAATCTGCGGGTCTTATCTTTCCTAGCGTTTTCGGTGCCTTGAAGAGAGTTGAGTATTGCTTATTGTTCATTCGCCTGCCTCCGCACGAACGTTCTCATATTAATCATTCTCAGATACTATGCAGTTTATTCTACCTGGCCATAAGCTTCTGATTGCAGGCCTTCATCCGGAGCATTTCCCTCTTTTTCACGTTTTTCTTAACGTTCTTTCACATTCGTCGTTCGCTTTTTGACGCTTGCGTTGATGCTCTTGAAAATTAAAGAAAATACTTATATAGTGGAATGGGTATGCAAAAAATGTATTGTTTTTGTTGAAAGCCTTGTTTGTAGCGTGAAATAATTTGGAAATTTTTGTGGAGATTTCCTGCTGCAAGTGAAGCCAATCTATTTATTCAGAGATGGGCTAGTAAGTGTAGTCGTCAAATACCTCCCTACTCGTTTCATCTTTAAAAGCTTTAGTGGATGCCAGTGGAAATGAATCTTTGTGTCCATCTTAGTCTGTTGGCAGTATAGTTTCACACACGGAAAATATCCAGTAGTGGTCATTTAGAATTGGTAAATACTGAAATGTTCTACTCAGGAGGATGAATTTAACATCCTTATATGGACTCAGATAGACGTGTTTGAAACAGATCGCGTGGTGTTCACGCCCGTAACTCCAAAACTAGGTGATCCTCTCTTCAGTTTTTTGCGCACGCCACATATTAATCCAGTTGGATTTGCTTGACATGGCACGTGCGTCAAAGTCTACGAGATCTGACAGTTCGTAAATAGTCTGGCTTTTTTCACTCTTCAGTTTCAGTTTCCACCTGCTCGGCAAACTGCGAACAGATAGCATCATGCCTGACTAGCCAGGTTTTCAACAAATTTCGAGACATTCCTGAAAAAATTGAAAAATTGCGCCAGTGCGCCACAACAAAGTCTATTAGATCCCAAAGCACAAATGGTATTTCTAATACTTTCTCGCAGTCACTGGTTAGAGAGCGTTGGGTGCATCTGAACTCATTTCGGAATCTGAAATTGATACACACTGTCTTAAGCTATACATTCCGTGAATGTCACGTTCGGCGTTGTCAGGTGTTTCATCTAAGCTTCATTCGAACCGTTTTGCTTGTATCACGAAATAAACACAGATATGCAATCGGAAAAGTTGTTCATTGTTAAAATGTGTCGCTTGTTTTGCCCTGCTAAGTAACGAATTATGATTACAACTTCAGCCTACAAAGTGCTCAGGCCATTGGCGATACAGATGTGTAGACGAGAACTTCCTTCGAAGAGATTAATCGGAAGCTTCGTAAAAGGGCGATTCCATGAGGAATTCGATCAGTTTTTGCGAGCATTTATTTGAGTTGGGAGAAACGTGTTGTTTGCTCGAAGCAAAGTCTTGAATTCGTGACAACCACATGGGAATTACTATCCAGAAATAGTGCAATAAATTACAAACCAGGTAAGTTTTAAGTTACGTGACCCAAAAAGATCAATCTCCTAATCTGATCAATTTTCCCCTCGTCGTTATTCCAACCATGGGTGTCATCGATGAAGACTTTTTGTTTCACGAACCAACGAAAATTTCATATGAAGGAATTCACTTTCCACCATCTGCTAAAGTTGCCGCTGAGACGGGGTTTTCAAACGTCACAGTCAGTCACATGTGTCTGCTCACCATTTTTGGCACTCGGCTCAACTATTCGAAACCTATTTGTGTTACATGACGTTGAGTATTTTTTGTGCCATTTACTTTCACGCGTGACCGTATAGGCCGGAATGATGGTCCTTAATCTGCGGGTCTTGTCTTTCCTAGCGTTTTCGGTGCCTTGAAGAGAGTTGAGTATTGCTTATTGTTCATTCGCCTGCCTCCGCACGAACGTTCTCATATTAATCATTCTCAGATACTATGCAGTTTATTCTACCTGGCCATAAGCTTCTGATTGCAGGCCTTCATCCGGAGCATTTCCCTCTTTTTCACGTTTTTCTTAACGTTCTTTCACATTCGTCGTTCGCTTTTTGACGCTTGCGTTGATGCTTTTGAAAATTAAAAAAAATAATTATATAGTGGAATGGGTATGCAAAAAATGTATTGTTTTTGTTGAAAGCCTTGTTTGTAGCGTGAAATAATTTGGAAATTTTTGTGGAGATTTCCTGCTGCAAGTGAAGCCAATCTATGCTGAAAGGCCGAGAAGCAGTGAACAGCTGGGAATCATCAGCATTGCGCATCTCATGAAACCTTGGAGAGTCTCGAACCCACGACCTCCAGGACAGTAGTTTGAACATTACTAGGACACCATTATACGTACTTTGTAGGGTAAAGGGAAATGAAATATTAACATCTTCCTTTTCAGATAGTAAGTCCTGTACAGTGGTCATAGTGGTCACAGATTCCTTCATCGCTATTTGGAGGAGGTATTCATTGAGGTGTTAGTTAGCATAATGGATGCTTCAAGGCACGCTTGTCACTGAGTTTTTAATTGGAACAATCGGAATAAAATATCGCCAACGTGAACTTCATTAGGCAAAATGAAGCATAGGACACACAGTAAACGCCATCTCAGAAAAGAGCGCGTGATGGGCTCTCGACGAAGAAAGTGACAGTTCAAAACAGGATGAGGGAGCAACATCGGTTGAATGACTTCGAATTTTGTATTGTTTTGTATTATCCTCCCTACTGATTTGATTGGAAACCTGCTCCTTTTTTCCGCAAATACTATTTTCTATACCATTTGGTTTTAATTTTCTATCCCTTCCAATTACTTAGTCGTTCTGTTTGCATACCCTCCACTTGAGCTATCTCAATAGGGAGTGCTTTTATTGGCTGCCGGTTCACATTGAACCACATAGGTATTCGAGCTAGTCTGTAGTTCTTATCGGTGTGCTGTTCACTAATTAACAATGGAGCGTATTTCGCGGTGTTAAAAAAATGCTCTCTGGGTGATGGCGTTCCTTACAGTCGGAAGTGACCGTTTAACGCACTCACCGTATCCTTGGTACGGAAAATAAATGCACAAGCCGCATCTGGCTCAAAGTGGATGGATATCCATCATTTCAGGAAGCTAAATAATATCCCATCAAGATCGAACTGAATTTCAACATTTTTTCTATCCCCATTAGTTTTGCGTAATGCTATACTTATTATTGGCAAAGCTTGTTCACAATTCAGTGAGATCATTGCCGTCCAGATCACAACAAACGACAAAGCTAGTTTATTTTTTCGCCACTTAGCTACTTGCTAATAAAAGTAGCACATTTTTGAAGCAAATCCGTATACCCTGAGTTGCCGGTATCATTGTTGAACAAGCAAAAATATAACGATTATTCACCAGCTAGAACGAGTGAGTTGAATCTAACTTGACCATATGATAATTCCCCACTCACTTGCTTACTCCGCCTGTGTACTTTTGATCTCCAGTTGTTTTGCTTATCCGCAACCGCCACCCACCCTGACGCAGAGGCCTTGCGACACTTGTTTATTGACATGTGTATCTGTGTGCGAATGTGCGCTGCTGACCTACTTACCCATGCGCGTTCCTTACCTGTTTGCTGGGCCTGCCTTGACTTGTTTTCTCAGGAGTTCCGTCCAGTGGGAATCACGATACCGCCGTCGGAAGGGTCGGCCGCAACCCACGCTCGCCGTTGTTTGGTGTGCGGACGTTGGCACTGCACTGTACCGGTCAGTGACAGACCTGTGAACTTGTTGACCCTACAAACGTGAACAATTGAAGTTTACTGTATAAATTTGCCTACCCTTGTGTAAATAGTACCGTAGAGTTACGAACCCAATTCTTCCTTTTGATACTCGGGATTGTCGAACCTACGCGTCACTCATAGTTCCGCATCGGGAACCTCAAGGGTGACTACGAATGATTTTAACATCAAACCCACAGCTGAAACTGTATAAGGTGCATAAGAAACGTTTTAACCTTCCGGCTGGTTGGACAGGGGAACATGGGTCATTTCTATACTGCGGGTAGATGGATACATCAAACAGTAAATTCTATTTTCTATTCTCAGTCACGGATAAGTCGTCTGCCAGAAATCTGAATTATCGTTAGCTACTCAGTCACCCAGGATGCCTAATTAGTTTCGTTTAGCCACGTCACTTTGGACGTGATCTGCCACTGGAATTGCATTGAACAAAAACGAACCCTCATAAGGTGCAGTTCTATTTGTTTGTTGCCAATTTAATAACTTAGGCTAGAAACTCCTTGTGTGTGTTGAACTATTCTCGCTGTTAGCTTATCAACCAAAAGTAACTTAGGAATCAGGTTCAGCCGTTCTAATGACCGGATTGGAACGTTCGTTTAAGATAAGCGGATGGTCGTTGGTTAGGTTTGAACTTGGACACATGCAGGCCTACAAAGCTTCTGCAATGACCAGGTCCAACATTTCCTGAAAACTAGACTGGAAAAATTGATTCAGAGCTGCCCCCAACCAGATATATTTGAGGGACAGATGTGGTTTAGAAGTGAAATTTTGTTCGAATCAGCCGACGGGTTTGTCATCTATGCAGAGGCTCCTCGGGATTAGTTACTTTGCGATGAGCACGTATCTTCCCACAGACTTCATCTCGT